TCACCCAACTAAATTCGTGGCTTATTATTTATGCGGACACAAGCAAATTGTCGACAAAAATGGGGGAAAAATAATAATAAAGAAAGCAAACCAAATTCAATTTTTTCTTTTTATTTCTGGGAATTCCTTGTTTTTCTTGCAAGTTGCAATCTTTTCTGGCCCCTTTTATAAAAAAAAGATTGGCGTATAATTTTTAATTAATTTTTTTCCAATTGAAGGTAAATTGTGCCTTGTGAATAAATATACGGAGAATGAAGTCATCTACAAAGTACAAACTAAGAATTTATTTATTCTGAGAAAGTTCAAATCTTCACGTAATGTGAAATATAATATTCTTAAAAAATAAACAGGAAAATTGAGCATTTTATTTATTTTTTTTAAAGGGAAAAGTGAGCATTTATTTGAAATTTAAGAATAGATTTTAACTTCATTTAATATATGTATTAATTGTGAGGTGAGATTCTTATTTCCTTTATAAATAAATATTCTTAAAATACTTTCTTTGTTACCCTTTTTTTTCCCTATGATGATTTTTATATTTTGATTTGAATTTTTAAAAAATAAATTACATGCTGAGAAAATTGTTGTATTAAGTTGATTTTTATGGAATTTTATTTCTCAAATTTCTCTTCTGCTAAATTCATATTCTAATCATCAAATCACATCACATTAGTGGAACCAGTCATTTCTAGAGCAAAAAAATACATTTCCATGGACAGCAGAAGAAAAATGAAAATGGCATTTTTTCATCCTTTTTTCTCTTTTCCACTTATCTCATCTTTGTGCCTCTATTAAAAGTTCTCTTTATTTTGTCTTCATTTGAAACGTTAATGTCGTTGCTAAGCACATTAAATATATCACTGGTCAAGTTGAATTTAATAGAACAATTCAGTACATCTTAATTAATTCATGAATAATTCTCCTTAAAAAAAAGTTGTTATTATCAAACTAGTTGGTAGAATTTAGATAACGCAAGGAACTAATTTATTCCTCCAAACATAACTTATAAAACATTAACTAACCATAATATCTTAAGGTTACGAATTCAAGATTTTATTATTGACTCCAATATAGTAAGGGGACTACTTATCTCTTAAAACTGGTCAAATTGCAAAAGGTTGGTGTAAATAATCATAAATGAACAAAATATAGAATGGGAATAGTTCAAAATAGTTGAAAAAGCAATCTAACAATAAATAAAGTATCTTTTGATTGCTAGTTAGTATATTTTTCACATTGAATTTTGGACCTTATAACTCACCACATTATGTCATCTTTCTTTTTGTGAGTGTTTAATTCAATAGTTAACTTGAGAATTTTACCAGAAAATATATCAAGAATAAAGACATTAACAACTCTGAGGAGAGACATATAAAGATTGATTTATTGGTTGAAGTAGTCATAACCCTTCTAAAAAAGTAGTATCCTTTATCATACATATAAAGAGACAAAATGTGAGTGGATAGAATATAATGATGAAGTCAACAAATTATACATTATTTGTTCCAACAAAAATTATGGACCAAATCAAACACAAAGAGACGGATAAGATTAACCAAATATTTTAACACCCTATATTTGGCTAATTCACACTAATAACATGTGGTTGCTAAAATCAAGTTTACTTCAAATCCAAACATTTACAATCACACCAACGTATTTAAAATAATAGAAATTATTATTTTATTTAAGTTTAAAACAGAACAAAACTCAAAAAGGGAAAAGGGGAATATTGAATTGAGAAATTGCTTATTCCTTTATCTCTCTATCTACTGGAATGAGGAAGAATGTGATGGATAGAGGCCATTTTTAGTGGGCTATAAAAAAGTTATTTTTGCAAATAAATACCAGATTCATAATAAACCGTAGATAAGTCTTCAATTGTGCTTTGTAGTTTAGAGAGAGATTGATTGGAAATACAGATATGTTAGAATTAAGCAATTTAAAAATACATCATAACTAAAACTTTCAAATTTCCCCCCTTATTTTCTTTTGTTTTATATCCGTGTCCAGACCAGCTTGCATGCTCCTCTACTATTCACGGGCCAATGGACCAACCACATAATCCTACTACATTTGGTTGACAAGGAAACTCGTAAGATATTAAATCCTAGGTAGGTGGCCACTATAATTTGAACTCATTCCCAGTTCTTTACTATTTACATTGTACTCTCCCCTTAGTAGAGATAATTTCCATTTTTTTTTTTGAGATACAAGAGATAATTTCCAAATTATTTAATATAAACTCTCCAAATACTTGATATATTTAACTAAACATTTAAACGCATATATATTTTTAATACAACAAATTCAGGGAGCGAACCTAAACCATGAATCTTAGACTTCAAGGAAGGTAACACTGCTTTATATGAAAAGTAAATAAATAAAAATTTGCAAGTGATTGAACCATAAAACTATATGATTCATTAAGAATCCTATAACAAAAAAAAAATCCCAAGAGAATCACAAGCAACAAATCCAAACTGAAGTTTTTAATGCTCACAACAGAGAAAGAGCTGAAGAAGAGAGTTTCTACAAATTCATTCATTCAACAAGCACAAAGTCGGCCAAGAAAAATCATATACACACCACCAACCCACTTCAAGGCATGTTACTAAACAAGAAATCTCACTAAAACCCTTCCTACTAATAGACTATCTATTGACATCTTAATTCGGAGCAGCAATATTAACATGCTAGAAAACAATGCCCCTGGCCCTCTATACCTTTCAAGGGTGTGAAGCCAGACGACGCTTCCAAAAGCACTCTACCAAAAACCATAAACATACAGTTACACTCTGATATCATCGCTTTACACATTCCTATCTCCCCATGTCAACAGGTTTTTCACCTCCTTCAGGTTCAGGCTCTCTCGCAATCTCTACATTCTGTTACCTTCTCGGAGGTGTATGTCCTAAATAAGAGGAAAGAACGTATTATTGATAATTGGTGCTTGATATACAAACGCATAATCAGAAAGATGAAAGGATGCAAAGAAGACTAAAAGAATTTTAAACACAATCATTATGTTGTGAAGAATTGAAGGAGAGTTTTTCAAAGTGATACAGGTGCAAGTAACAAAGATAACGAAAGAGAGAGAGAGAAGGGCACAGCTAGGAAGGGTGGAAGGAGGCAGTAGATGCATTTTTACCAATTAAAACTTCAAATTGCTAAACCGATGCTTCTTTATTTTATTTTATTATGCTTCTTTATTTTATTTTATTTTTTGCACTGTTATTAATATATGCTTCTTATCCAAAAAATTAATAATATTATTATATGCTAAAAAACTGTTTTCATTGAAGGAAACAAGCAAAAGAGCCTCCAAATATATATATTGAGATGGGTTCCTCCAACAAAAGGGAGGTCAGGAAAGAACTTACTAACATTGACACAAAGAGATGTATTATATGTGAAACATCAGAATGCATTAGCAAGAACACCCAGAAGGAGTTATACAATCAAAGCCTTCCACTCGTTAATGAGGCGGCTATTATTACAAATAATTTCTTATGGTTTGTACACTGCCACCAAAGAAACATCCATCGCACATTTTTATACCCTAATAAATTATCAAATCACTCCCAAGCTAGATAAACCAATGACAAGCAAAGAAACAACCTTCCCAAAAATTCGTCCTGAATCACATAATGGAAGATGCAAGATGACTTGCTCCATCATACCATGATAATCTAGCGTGGGATTACACACCACCCTAAAAGCCTCCAAAAACTTGCACCAAATCTTAATCAGAAAAAACCATCTCCAAGGAAAGTGATTCAAGTCATCACCGGTCTCTTTCTTTGCAAAGGCACCATTGGATGACCTTTGGGTTTCAATAGACTTTTTTATTCTAGTTGGTGCAATTTGTCTAAAGTTTTATGTAATTATGAGTTCTTTTGATGTATGTCAATTGGGACCCTTGTAGTAAGTCCCCATGTGGTTGGTACACTATCTTCCTTTATAATCCATAGCTTTCTTCTCCTTAAAGAAAGGTTTTTTTCCGATCTAACAATCATCAATAGATTCTTTTCAATCAAATAGCTTACAAACTGCTAAAGCTTAGGATTAGGCAATCAAAAGAGAAGAATATCTTTATAATTTGAATTCAGATTTTGGAGGCTTACAACATCTGTGAGGCACAATAAAAGACCTAAACGTAATTGATTCTCATTTTTTGGTTTCTTATCCTGATATTGGTTTCAAAGTTAAAAGTTAGACGTACCTAAACTGTTGAAGAGGGAGTTAGAAAACCTAAAATGAAATCTAGGAAATTAATTGGTAAGACGATCCAATAGTCAACTAGGTGAGATCAAACATCTAGAACTCATCTTTTTGGTTCAATTTTACGTGCTTCCTGTCCTTTTCTTGGTTTTTATTTTGGAATTCTAGCTCAAATTCAATCATCTAGATCTATCAAATACGAAGTCTAAACAAAATCACCCAGAAGAACATGAGACAAGTGATATGGAGGCGAACAGAAGAGCATAGAAATTCCACATTAACATGACATAATTGACAACATTAATTTGTGCACAAAACTAAGAAATATTGGAAAGCAAAAGTTGAAACTTGAAAGCAGAATAACATATACCTGAGAGCAAACAGCAGCTTGTTCAACATTTCCTACACGTATATCTTAAATCATTCCACGGACATCAGTACTACAAGGTAATACACCATCCATTAAATTTGGAATGCTCAAATTGCCTTTTATTAAATAATTTTGTTTAACACACCATACCGTTCCTGAGAGAGTTTGCTGGTAGTTTGACATATCTTGATCGGAAGAAATGTCAGAGTTCTGTTTATAAGTCGTCACTTCCGTGATATTAATGTCCGTATTAATAATAACTTCAGCCTCTCTGACACTTTCTTGGTTTTCTATGGAGGACATAAATTCCTTAGGATCCTCAGACACGTTCATTTGGTTTGCTTCTTCACTGAAATCAAATCATTAACTTCAAAAATAACTTATAAAAAAATTTTCAAAAATGACCATTAGGTATTGAGATATTATTGGGAGAATAAGAACTAAAGATTAACAGAAAATAAAGGAAATTCATTTGACCAGAAAAGAAGACATACGGGCAACTAGGATCTTCTTCCGAAGGGCTTACAGACATTTCTTGTTGTCTCTGTTTCTTATTGTTATTTTCTAGCTCCATTTGTCCTAGAGAATCACTACGAGTAATATTGGTAGCTCTCCTTTTCCTTCCAGACAAAATCCTACTATCAGACACAGGAACATCATTTACAATCTCAGATTCAAGAACAGGTACTCCTTTCATGTCCTTGCCTGCTGGGGGTACTTCAACAATTACTTTTGGTTCTTCGATATCGTATTTCACATCCTGTCTTTCAGCAGAAGTCTTCTCAAAATCCTGAGCCTGACAGAGTTGTCCAGAAATTGAGATTGAATTGTCAGCCTGAGTGATCAGGTTTTTATCATGATAGCTCGTAAATGGCCTCTCTCTCTCAGGAGATTGCTTGAATATCAATTCAGAGCAACGCTTGATCCACGATAAACGAGATGAGATAGGATGTGAATCACCATCTAACTTGAGCATAGATGGGGACTCAAAGCCATTATAAATCTTTTCAGTATCTGTTTGGTGCTGTGAATTCAAATCATCATCTCTAACAACTGCTCGCTGCTTCAAACGTTTTCTTGGAGAACTTATTGGATGAGCAGGTTCCAAACTGGAACTGTTCATCTCAGCCACAGCCAGATTATCCAAAGCAACTTTCAAATTCTCGAATTTCTTAAGGCGTTCAATCTCGGCAACAATTTCCTCCCTGTCAGCACGCAACAACTCCCTCTGTTTCTCTAATTTCTCCCTTTGAATCTTGAGTTCCTCAATTGAATTATTCAGTTCTGCCCATTCTTCGTTCCTTCTTTCACGATCTAAATTAATCTTCATTCTCTCAGTTTCAAGTTTCTTAGTTTCTAATGCAACCTCTTCCAAATCCTTGGTTGCTTTGACTTTAAGGAAGCTAATTCTCTCTAGTTCATGATTCTTTTCTTGCTCAAAGTTTTTTAGTTTTTCCCTTAAATGGCTCTCTAATTCTTCACGCCTCTGCTCAAGACAATTCTCAAGCTCCTTCTTCTGTGCCTCAACATCCATCAATAGATGCTTACGTTCTTGCTGCATTTTGTTCAACCACTCAGAACGTTCACGTGTCATCTTCTCCAAGAATTCCTCTCGCTCACGAGAAAGTGTCTCCATATCATTCTTGAATTGATCTCGCATTGAATCCCTCTCCAATCTAAGGCTATCACGTTCATCTTTGATAAAATTGGACACGGCTAACCGCTCTGCAGCTAGAATTTCCGCTTCCTTCCGCAGCTCCTCTCTTTTTTCGTCAATGAACTCCCATTCAGCTTCAAATTTGGCCTTCTCAACCATCAACTTATCTGCCTCATCCATCAATTCTAGTTTCTGAACTCTAACTGAATCAAGCTCTTCTTTAAGCTTCATCTCTAGCAGAGATAATTCATTAGTTTCACTCCTAAAGGCTTCAAGCTTGTCCTTTGCGCAATCAACTTGTTTCCTTCTGTCTTCCAGAGAGTCAAGGGAGTGCTGAAGCTCTAGCTTTATCTTAGAGCACTCATCTTTCTCTTTTTGCAGGAGTACCTTATTAAGTTCAAGCTCCTGCTCAACAGCTCTCAAGTTCTTCTCCTTTACATCAAGAAACTTGGATAATTCTTCTACCTCCTTCTCCTTTGTTACCAATGACCTAGATTGAGCCTCCAAGTCATGTTCCTTTTCCAAGAGTTGCTCATCCCGCTGTTTAAGGTCCATCTCTCTCAACTCCCACGCACGTCTCTTGCCTTCAATTTCATCTTCAACTTCTTTCTGCTTTACTTGTAGCTCAGCATCAAAGTCTGATATCTTTGTTCTCAAAGTACTTTCATGGTTTGCCACGACTTTTTGAATTTCATTCTGCAGAACTCATTCAGAGTAGAATTAAAATGTAATCAGTGCCTCAAAAAATAGGTCAGGTCACTTAAAATGAAACAGAGTGCATTCCAGGAGGAAAAAATATTACAATCATTATGGTTTGAGTAAAGTTAATAAAATGAATCTCAAAGCTGCAGTTAGGTAACGAATAGGTTAAAACAACTCACAGATTCCCGTGTCGCAATTTTTTCCTGTAAAACAAGTAGCTCCTGCTCTCTCCTGCTCAGCAAAATTTCCATTCTATTGACAGCCTAAAACCCAGAAGGTAAACCAATTATATTTTCAGGGCAAAGCACAAAATTATTTACAGAATATTATTCAAACCAAAATTAGATTTAACCTCTTCTCTCTTTGATAAAGATGCTTCAGTGAGTTGCAAATTGGACTTCACATCGTGAATTGCTCTGCGCTCATTCTGAATGCTAGCTCTTGAGTCCTCTAACTCTTTTTCAAGTCGATTTAGCTCTTGAGTCTTGCTAAATATATGTTCCTCCCGCTGATTAAGCAACGCTTGTCCATCAAGTAATCTCTCATGTTCCTGCTGCAATGCTTTCTGTCTTTCACTCAAAGATTGCCTCTCGAGCACAATCTCCTCTCCTTTCTTATCACAACTATAACAAAAAAAAAGTATATATAATAATTATTATTATTATTTATTTCTATAATGTTTACAGATCTAGGAACAGAAGAGGTGTTGAAAAAATTAAAGCAACTGTCCATCCACCGCAGCAAGGAGTCACAGCTCCACTGTTGTTTGTTAGTGCAAGACATTTGATTTTGTCATTACGTGAGAAATTAAAGTTGTAGATCTCAATTCTCACAAAGGATAATAACGCTACAATGTCATAACTGAATCTTCAATGAGAAGGGATGCATTTTGGATAAAGCCTTTGGGATTGCTAAGTTTTATTGTTCTTTATGGTGTTTCCAATCCTCTCTGATTGAGTGCAGTGATTTCAAGGCGCACCCGGGCGCTCGCCTCAGACGAGAGGGGAGGCGATTCCGCCCAGGTGCGCCTTGCAAGGTGCAAAGGCGAGCGCCTTCAATCGAGCGCTCGCCTTTGTGCACCTCTCACCTAAGGCAAGGCGATCACCTCGTTCAAGCAAGGCGATATGCCTTATTTTCTTTTTATTTTCCTTTTTATTTGTATTTTTTTAAAATATGTTTAGAAAGTCCTCTTCTCCCTCGCGAATTACCTCCAAGTCCAAACCCTAACTTCTCGATTCTCTCTGCCTCTCGACTTTCACCCTCAATCTCCGACCATCGCGCCGCATCCTTCGTCTGTCACCACTGCCGCCTTCTCCTCCAACTTTCGATGGGTTCTTTCTGTTTTTTTGTATTCTTTTATCTTATTTATTCCTTTTCATCTCTTTTATTTCACACCAAATCTTTCTCAAAACCTATTCCAGACTCCAGTATTTCTTAATGTTGGTTGTCTTTATTGGTAACTAAAGAGTTGTTTCATGTATCTTGTTGACATTTACTATGACACTATTTTGGTATTGAATTTTTTAAACTATATTTTCTATATAACTTTATACACTATATATAATTTTTATTTATTTATTAAGGTGCGTCTCGCTTCATTCAGGCGTCGCCTTTGTATCGCCTCTCGCCTCAAGGCGATCAAAGGGCTTCTCACTTGAGGTGAGCCTTGCACCTCGAAAATACTAATTAAGTGAAAATGGTATAGATTTCGTTATATTCCATCTTTTGGGAATTTAGTTCTCGCCTCCGTACAAAATTTCTATCAACTTTTTCACTATATCAATGGAAAAAAATTGTAAAAAGTAAAGTTCATATTTTGACATAAAGGTTCACAGAAGAAAACAAAGGTGACTTAAAATCATGGGAAATTGGCTCAAATGACCTTCATAAGTTTTTGGAATGCTCAAATGACCTCATGTTTCAAAATGTGCTTGGATGACCCAGTTTAATATTTAATTGAATTTAAAAAGAAATGAAATTACACTATTACCCCTCTGTTCAAAAAATCAAACCATTTATCGGACGTCTCTTTCTCTTTTCCTTCTCTGTTCAAAATCGTTTATGTTCCATCATCTTCTCCGTTTGAAATTGCTTTCGTTCCATCTCCTTCTCTGTTAATTTTTGTTCTTTTCCATTGATTTGAATGCTAGGGCTTCGATTTCCATCGCTGTTGAGGAGTTTAATGTTTTATTTTTCCATCGATTCTGTTTTCCGGTATTTGGATGAACGAATACAAGAATTACATTGCATCGATTTAAGTTTGTTTCTTGTGTATTTCATGTTTTGAAAAATAGGAAAACTGATTACTGTTTGTGTGTTCCTTGTTCTTGATTCTTGAGTATATTATTATGTCAATTTTGAGGTCTCTAGTCTCTGTGTGTGTGGATGTGAGGTTTATTTAAAATATTTGTGGTGGGAGGTTGAAGAAGAAGGACAAACTCGCGCGAAGTGAGATGGACCTCGAGCGAGGTTGAAGAAATTTGTTCTTTCGCTCAAGGTTTGTTAAGTTTCTGT